TTTACAAATTTCGTAGGATCCCGAAAGTCAACAAGAACGAGAAGGTGAGTAAAATGCAATATAATAAATGAGAGGATTATATCATGATAAATTTATGATTTTCTTTGGATTTGCAGCGGATCTAAAAGTTTATGTAGATATGTGCTCGGGTAGAATGTTTGTTTACTTCAATAAATCAGTAAAACGTTAATTATATCAAACTTTTATCTACAGAAAGAGGGCGTACTTACCTAGGTGTAAGGGTGAGTATTATTTTATGTGATTTGTTTACAACCTCGTTCAGCATTACCTGCTTTGTGTACTTGACTTTGCAAAACCTGACGGTTTTAAATGTCTGTGTCAGAGAGTGTAATGAAAGAATCAAAATCACGTGATTTTTACATTTTCCATTTAAATATAAATCATATAAATGTATTTACTCAATATTTATTCTGTAAATGATTTGTGGATTTTATATTGTATTTTTGATATTAATAATAGGAGGAAGAGAATGACCCAGAACGTGAAGGTATGTACATTACGTCAGTCATAAATTAGATAAGTGATTGAGTTTATTTACGTCATCGATATCTGTATCTTAGTTCAATAGAATAGAAATATGAATTGTAATACTCTTGTTTCAGAAAGAGGGCGTACTTACCTTGGAGTGAGAGGAAGAACCTATCTTGGTGTGCGAGTAAGTATCTAAAAACAGAATACAAATTCACAAAGAACATATTCAAAACGACATTTTAAAAATTTCGTTTCAGCATCATTATCGGAATGTTAATGTCTTTTTGATTGTATAATGTTATAAACCCCTATATCCAAGGAGACTAATAAGTACTCATTATACATTGTGTAGGACCCCGAAAGTCAACAAGAACGAGAAGGTGAGTATAATGCGATATAATAAATGAGAGGATTATATCATGATAAATTTATGATTTTCTTGGATTTGTAGCGAATCTAAAAGTCTATGTAGATTTGTGCTCGGGTAGATTGTTTATTTAGTTTATTTACGTTATCGATATCTGTAGCTTAGTTCAGTAGAGTAGAAATATAAATTGTAAAATTCGTACAACACTCTTATTTCAGAAAGAGGGCGTACTTACCTTGGCGTGAGAGGAAGAACCTATCTTGGTGTGCGAGTAAGTATCTAAAAAATTATGAATTATTCAAGAAAAAAATTAAAACGTTTCTAATAATTTTCTTTCAGCAACGTTATCGGAATGAACTTGATTATAATATAAAATATTGAACATTGTATCCAATGTGACTAACAATTAACAATTATACATTTTGTAGGACCCCGAAGATCAACAAGAAAGGGAAGGTAAATCACAATCCTATCAATTAGTGGTTTTACGACCAGGTTATTCATTCACTGTATATTATACATACACAATATCCCTGTATAACATATATGCTTATTACAATCGTTTCAATCTCGTAACAACGTTTCAACACTACGTATTAGTCAATATATTTCTTTCTGTGGGTCAAAGAATGCCAAGAAAGTATTCCCGAAGACCCTTTTACCTTTTTAGAGATCTTTTAAGGGTGTCATCACGAACATGTATTGATATGTTGTTGTATTCATGACGATAGTTTTCAGGGGGTTAGCAGCGCATTTTCTTCCAAACAACACAGGCTTGAATTATAATAGTGATTATATAAATGTTTCTTTCAGAACGAGGACGTACTTATTTGGGAGTTCGTGGTAGAACCTATCTTGGTGTAAGAGTGAGTATATGATATCAATTCTCAGAATGTATGAATAATTAATGAGGCTATCGACGGCATGTTGGCTTGGCGCCAGGAATATGTTGTATTAGACTAACAACTCGATCAACGGCGTCACTAATGACGTCATACCTGTTGCTTTATGTAACACATCTTTATTGCACTTTTATAAAACATATGTGTATTGTGTATATAAATTGAAAATATATTAAAATTGATATATCATGTTAATATATCGTTGCATTTCACAGGACCAAGACGAAGATACAGAAAGAGAAGGTATGACGTTATTTAATGTTTTGAAGATCCCAATTGTAATTTTATATTGTACAATTTAAATTATTTTGAAAATCTGACAAAGTGACATATATAACCCAATGGTCGAGGTTAACAAAATGGTCAAATAGAAAAGCCGGGATGTTATATTGTCATATAAGGCATATGTCCTCAATCTATTAGCTGAACAGAATAAACGTCAAATTACGCATACTTGGAAACGAGAGATTTGTGATATATTTGTTCATAATATATAACGATTAGCATGATGAAATCAGATTAATATACATGTGCGTGTTTTTTTAATTTTTTCCCCAGAACGAGGACGAACTTACTTAGGTGTAAGGGTGAGTATCTGACAACGTTCATATGTACTTTGAAAAATCATTCATTAATTTATAGATCCGAATTGCAATTAATACGTTTCTCTTTACTGTTTACTGGACACGTAGGACGAGGACAGGGATGCGGAACTCTCAGGTCAGTCAACAAATTATAATTCCTTTTAATTGTCATCAGACTATGATCATTTCAAACCACGTGGTTTAATTGTCACGTTTTCGGTTATATCATTTCAAACCACGTGGTTTAATTGTCACGTTTTCGGTTATATCATTTCAAACCACGTGGTTTAATTGTCACGTTTTCGGTTATATCATTTCAAACCACGTGGTTTAATTGTCACGTTTTCGGTTATATCATTTCAAACCACGTGGTTTAATTGTCACGTTTTCGGTTATATCATTTCAAACCACGTGGTTTAATTGTCACGTTTTCGGTTACTAGTATATCATTTTAAACCTCGTGGTGGTTTAATTGACACAGTGTCACGGCTATGGCATTAAGTAAAGTTACGTAATGTTGATGTTGTCCATTTATTACCAACATCAAAGTTATATGAATAGATTTACTTTTGTTGGGGAAAAAAATTGCGACTGTGAGACAAAAGATTGACCTAATACGTGTCATAACAGTCAAATCATTTACATGTTATAGTTAATCGGAGAAATAATATTATTAACAAATATAAATAAACAGTTACGGATAACAATCAAATATGTATGTGTTCTTAATTATTTTAATAACAAGCAAACATAGTTATGTAAATTAATATTTTTATTCGTGAAATAAACATTGTGAAAAAGTCCCACTAATTTAATCTTACTATTTGAATTGCCCATTTTAGAACGAGGCCGGACGTACCTTGGTGTGAGAGGCAGAACATACTTGGGTGTTAGGGTGAGTATGACAAAGTGTTTCTCTCCAAGGTACGAACTGGAGAGATAATAACAAGATATCGGTACATTATTCAAGCAATTGGGTTGGATACTATATTCGATATACCGTTGTTAGAAATTGGGATGAGTGACGTTTCCAACTAATTTTCCGTTATTCTGTAATTTCATTATAGGACCAAGAAAAAGCAGCTGAACGTGAAGGTAACCACTGGTAACTCCAGTCCGTGACTATTATTCTCGAAAAATGGTCTGCAACGGTTTTCAAAAAGGTCGTCTGATTTGCCATATGTGTACATGTAAATGAGAATAGGACTAACAGACATTTTATATTTTGATCCATGTGAAATTCCCTACCACAATCTAAATGAACAAGTCAGCTACGTCACTATGTCAGAATTGAGAACTTTACGGAAATTCTCCCTGATTATACTCGTATAAACTGTTACTACTGTTCCGCACACCCCCTCCTGACAACAAACACGGTTGCGATGAATTAAAACACACTCGTTTTTGTAAACGTGGAGATGACGTAGTAAAATCCCACGATTAGAACGTGCAAATGTAAATGTGAAGAACCCTTAGTTACCCCAATTGTGTAAAGTCTTACAATAAGAACATACATATGTGAATAACCCTTAGTTACTCCAATTATGCAAATTCCTACAATAAGAATATGCAAATGAAAAACCCTAGTTACCAAAGTGTTGTGTAGTCGCACGATACGAATAAAACTGTCACGTGATATTCTGCACCTGGTAGTTACTATGTTCATGCTGCTCCCATGGGATATAACTTTAATTTCAGTTTTTTTTTAGTATATTCACATTATTATTCAATTGAACTGATATTTCCACTTTTAATACAGTTTAAAACAAATTAAAGACTCTTTTAGTGTGAATTTCTGATTATGGATTAGGATACTGAAAATGTAAAAAAAAAAAGTAATTTGGGTCGTGGAATATTTATTTAATATATTTTTTACAAAATAAAAAGTCTTTTAATGTCATATAGAAAATGGCAACATGTGCATTTTCGTCATATATTGAGATTTTGCTCGCTGAAATTGACTGAATACGTAAATCATTATTATTAAACATTTCAAAAAACATCTATTTTAGTGTCAAGTTTAATAAAGGTATATTTAAAATGGGAAGTTTTCTCCCACAATGCATTACACATATGTGCAGTAACATGCTCAGTACTGAAGAAATTAAATTTGGCTGAAACTTCCTTAAATATAAATACAGAATTATCTATTGTATTTCATGTTTGCATGACAGATTGATAGGATAATAATGTTTGTTTAGAAGTGTTCACATAAATCACGTAAATTGCACATATAATTTGAAATTGATGTTATTTCAGATGAAAAATACACTATGCAAAATCACCCATCATTCGTAGTTACTGAATAGTGACGTAATTCACTAATGATGGAGTAAATTAAACACTGTCGGTTATACAAGAGTCTATGCTTGACAAAACAAATTTCTGTTTGTTTTCAGAGCGTGGTAGAACATATCTTGGTGTAAGGGTAAGTATGGTACGGGGGGTATATAAACTAGGCTAAAAATGCAACATAGACAACAATATTTAGATTTTTTGTTTGAAACGACATGTTGTGACTGTAATCAAAACAAGCAGTGCATATGCGTATTTAAAAATAGAGTAATTATTCACAATATGTCACCTGCCCCCCCCCCCACATTCAATGAAACGCACGTTCTAAAGAAGACAAAACACCACATATGTACTAAACAATTATTTCCCTTTAATTGCAAGTATGGTTATGATGCTTTGTTTGCTTGCAGGACATTATGGAGGAGTGAAAGAAAGATACAGAGTCGTAATTATTATATGAAATATATCATTTTGTTTTTCGCCAAGATCGACAAATGTACACAACAAAACTTATAAATAATGCAGTTATTAAATACGTACACATAATTTAACTTATTTGGGAATGTCGGCGTAATTTATATTCTGACTTCAGTATGTAATAAATTAGCGGTGTGCAATGGGAATTGTTGAAATGAATACTTTAGCTTTTTGAAAACATTAGTTCGATGACAGTTGCGTTGTTTTGTGCATGTGTGGTTTATATATCGACATCGGGGACTACAATATTCGCTATTAATCACGTGGTTATTCAATCTCGTACATCACCATGCCAGCAATGATGCGTTACAACTATTTTAATACATACAACAGGCGACTTTCAGTAACACGTGGTATTTTTGTCTGAGTATGTCTGTGCTGCCTCGTTCACGCCCAGTCGATAGTAATCAACAAAATTGTCTTCCAAATATCTTTCATACTGCTGCATGACACGTAAATGTTAAAT